GTGCGGCACCGCTCCCGCCGCTCGACGCGGCCGCAGCGCTCGCCTGCGGCGTCGCTAAGGCTTGCGATACCGCTGGGGCATTTTCAAGCAGCCCCTCGCCGTTGGAATTCTTTGCCACCGCTTCCACAGGAGCACAGTCCACCTTCCCTGCATCTTTGCAAGGAGCGGCCGGGCAGGACACTTTACCGGTGACTGCTTGGTGTTTCTTCGTGCTCGGCTTTTTGTTAGTCCTTTTTGATTTCGCACCGGATGGCAAGCCAGCAGCCGCTTTTTTGGGGGAAGCATTTACCGGGTTTGACGCACTAGTGAGCACCGAAACCTCCACGGGTACTGCAGGTGCCGCAGACGTTGGCAGCGAGACGCAGCTCACCGTGGCGATCTGGTTGCTGACAGTCGTGGGATTGGTGGGGTGGCTGAGAGACAAGTGTAAGCAGCTCTGCCCAGCCATCTGCGATATGCTTTGATTGAGGTTAGCTAAAGCCCCAAACGTATTGAGGGCGACGTTGGTATTTGGATCTTCGCTGGTCGTGGGTTGAATGATTTGCATAGGGGCTTGATTTGAAGCTCCAGACGAAGACATCACAGGCTGCAGCGCAAAAAGCTGCCCGTTCAATGAGATAGTCTGGGGGTGCTGTTGATTGGACATCGTAACCGAAAACGTTTGCGTGGAGCTAGAAGATGGCAAAGAAGATGGTCTCGGTAATATATGGACAAGGTGTTTCCCTCCGAAGGTCTGCGGAAGAGAGGCATTTTGTACGGAGCTGCTGGAGTTCGCGACCGCGGTCGGCCCGTTCACGGGAACTCTTACAGAAGCAGAAGGCTGAGCGGAGAGGAGGGGAAGAGGATTCTGATTCGCAGCTTGTATAATTACAATCTGCTGGCTAACATTCTGGCTGGGAACTTCCGCTCTCACAATCGGAGGGCAGGGAGCGGGGTTTGGAGGCTGGAGAATGATGACGTTCTGGTTAGCTGGTGCTCCCGTAACCGCCGACGCGACTGGCTGAGCCATCTGAATCACCTGCATAGCTGAATTTAATGGAAGGATATTTCCTGCAGCCTGAGTTTTAACCTGTGGCTGGCTGATTAACGGCTGCATAGGTAAGGGTGGGCAGGAGGGCAAGGTAACTACAATCTGTTCAGCTGCCTGGCCGTCCCCAGGCAGAGAAGTACTCAGACTGATGCTCGTAGTCAAAGGCCTGCCGTGAGCAGAAGATACAGTCCCGGCACCATTAACGGGCTCATTTAATAGGGCGGTCATTATACCGGACGGCGTTTGGCTCAGCGGCTGAACAGTGTTCCCCGCAAGCTGCAATGTCGTCCACGTGGTCTGCGTGTTTCCAGCTGAAGGCATCCGCGTAAGGCTACTCATGTTTTTCAAGTCCGAGGTGCCGACACCTGAAGAGCCTGAAAAAGACCAGCAGTTCTCCAGGGGACCGGCAGGCAGAGCGCTTATCGCCGTCGCGGCTTTAACTCCTTCCGCTGCAGAAGACACAGGCGCTCCGGCGCTACTTACCGAGTCTGTGCTTTTGAGGACGTTTGCAGAGGAAAAGCTATCTGCAGTAGAGAGTCTCACAGAGGGCACACAAGCTGTGTCCGTGGCCGAAACGACACAGCTTTCCTGAAGGTCGCTCCAAGAACTGTGTGTATTCGAGCACGTTGCATTCGGCTGTTGAACTTGGGAAGCTTCCGTGGAGGCACTGGAAGGAAGGCTGATTCCCTGCAGGATTGTTTTCTTGGTTAACTTAGTGCCCTCCTCCTCATTTTTACTTTTGGGGAGGTTTTGATCGTTCTGTGGTGCATTACTTGAAGAACACTGTAGTTGCTGTTCTGCTGCGGATCGAGATGCGCTCTGCGAGCTGGCAGGAGCAGCGGCCAGCACACCTCGCTCATTCTCCAGCGTGGAAAGCTCCAGAACGTTCCCTGCTGGAGCTGTCTGAACGGACGCCAGCGGAGAAACTGTAGTTTGCGACCATGGCTTGTTTTCTGCGGGGTAAATACCAGAAATAGTCACAGGAGTCACTAGGTTGCAAGTTCTCTGGACTGGCACAACATTGGCGGTTTGCTTTTGTAAGTTGTGACCAACATTAAACGTTATTCCCTGGACAGATGCTCCCTGGTTAGTTCCATTGGGTTGACTCCCGTTTGAGTAGACGATGTTCTTTTGAACCTGATCACCGGGAATAACAACCGAGACCTTCGCGTTTTTGAGATTTCCCTTCCAGTGGATTGTAGGGTCAACATACAGGCAAATATCATTTGCTTTCAGGAGTTCGATGTATCTCCCGTTTTCCTTCTGCAGTTCATCCAGCTGTTTCCGGAGTTTTTTTATCTCTTCAGCTACAAAACAGCGAGAGCACTCCGTTACATCAGCACCAGAGCAAATACCAGGTAATGTTACCACATGACTCAGAAAGAAAATACTATGTGGTGTTGAATTAAATTGTTAGTAAGGTTTGCTCTCTTCCAATAGTCAACGCAAGACAAATCGCAGAATCACAGAATGGTTTGGGTTGGAAGGGACCTTACAGACCATCCAGTTCCAACCCCCCTGCCATGGGCACGGACACCTTCCACTAGACCAGGTTGCTCCAAGCCTCCTCCAGCCTGGCCTTGGACACTTTCAGGGATGGGGCATCCACAGCTTCTCTGGGCAACCTGTTCCAGAGAAATCTTATCCTGATACACCTCTCTACTGGGCGGGAAAGGGAGTGAACTTCACAGACTATTCTGTTACTAATAGCAGGATATTTCAAATTATTTTAGTTAAAAAAACCCATCAGGACTAACTCAGATGAAAATGATCAAATGGTTTAATTGCTGAAGGAAAAAAGAGCACATTAATATCTTGTTCTGTTCCCTGCTCCTCTACAAACACTAAAACTGGTTTTATTTAATTGATAATTTCCTGGCTTTCAAGGGCAATCAAGTTCTGTTACATCTAAAAACAATATGCAAAATTAAATACAAAGCACTTACGTAAAGCCGCAAAAAGTGGGAATGCACTTGGAGACAGCTCACCTAACTTGGAGCCAGCTTACTAACATTACATCGACAAGATAAAAATAAACTATTTAGAATTCCACTCTATGGACAGAAATAAAAATCACAAACTGCAACATGAGCTCTGCCATACCTTCTTCACTGTATTTTTATGCAGCCATTCAAGAAGATTTTATACGGCGCATTGTATTTTCATAAAACAGGCTGTTACCACTTTCACAGCATTTCACAGGGGAAAACAAGAGCTCTATGCATGAAGGAAACGCAGTGTCTTCGATGAAAAAAATCTAACTGGAGTTTGTCAGAAACCGTTCTGGTCCCTACGGTGGAACAAATCAGGACAGAACCTGCTAGATGATGTCACATCACCTATAATCTCAGTAATTTACATACCAAGGGGATTGCTTCATTATCTCCTAGCTACGTGCAAGAGCACACACTTGGACAGCCTGTTGGCTTCAAGATATTCTAAGCAGCTGCATTTTTCCTGTACGTGCATAATGTCTCAGGATACCCGAGGCTGTAGATCCAGGCTTTGTTGTCAGTCACTAACAGACACGCAGCGGAAGCGAGTGACAGAAATTCTAGAGCCTCCAGCAGCATCTCTACTTACCCTGTTCATTGTTCCCTCCGTTTAACAGAAGTTCATCATTCTGCCTTTTCATTTCTGTTATGTACTTAAAGGCCTGATCCAGGATCATGTTCTTGCTCTTTCAAAGAAAACACATAGAGAAAATTAGGAAAAAGGTCTGTCATTGGTAGATCAATTAAAGATGAAATTGCACTTGCTCCAAGAGGTCTTTGCTTTAAAAATGTTCTAACCTGAGGGATTCTCTGAATAGTGTAGGGTGGGATTATTTTGGGTTTGGGTTTTTTAAGACAGTAACATTTTCAGTGCTGGAGCTGACGTTTTCCAATGCCTGAAGCTAGATACTACGGGCACAGAACCCGGACAGCAAGCATCTTTTCTTGCTGAGCAGCCTAAAATTCGTGTTCTCTAATAAACATACACGTCACATGAGATGTCCAGGATTCTGCCTCGTAAATATTTTATTAGGAAAGGAACAAACATGGAATAATTATCCAGGGAGGTGTATGCACAATTTTAAAAGTAATATACTGGAGATTATGGGAAGAGAAAATATGCCATAACCCCTCTACCATCTTCCTTTTATGAAACTATGCTCACTCTGCCTGCGAAACCTCTTGTGAACTTCTTAATGCCTTCTACTGTCCCATAGGAACAGCCTTTGCTGTAGATGGCTATCTTGAAAAAGATGCTTCTGTGCATCCACCTCAAACCATTTGTCTTGCTTCATCCTTCGCAAGGACAGTGTCTTAAATTACTGTTATTATTTCACTTTCTGAACGGCTTTTGTCCTATTATATGAAAGATGAGAAAAATAAGCATGCGTGCAATTCTCTTTACATCTGAGGACCTTAAGTGATCACCAGCTGAGAAGGGATTGGAGAATGACCTGAAAAACGATCTTGCTTAACCCATGGCTTTCACCACTTGGGTACCATACAGACTACATTAAACAGCCTCAGTAGAAAACAACTTGACAAACAGGAGTTGCACAACATAACCAGCAGCCCCCTGGCCAGATTCCAACCTATTTGTGTCTAGCCTGCCACCCCTCCTCAAAATACTGCAGGTATGGATTGAGGAGGGAGTCAGTCACATGTCCAACTCACGGTTTCATTCCTTCGGCAGTCACGTGCAACACATCCAGGTGAAAAGCTGAAAACCCGTGTAATCACATTCACAGAATCACAGAA